TTTGCACTATGAGCCCGGGCCTTTTTCCCGTCTCGCCGCTACGCATATGGGTCTTTTCCCGCTCTCCTGCTCCCCACGGTTGGTCCCTTTGGATGTCCGTGACATGTCCATAATGCTGAAGTATGGACAACCTAAAACAGTCACAGGCTGGAGTGAAGCACAACTTTAACAGGCAGCAAGTGACTCCCACTGCCTATTTGTGTAAGACCATGTAAGTCTCTGCCTGTAGATTGGTTCTGATGTATAATATGATAGCTTAGATGGAATATGATACATTGCTGAGGACATTTATAGTATGTTGTGGGTGTGGTTGTTGTATATGCGGATACACACACCTCTGTTGGACTGTTCACACAGTCTTTGTTTTTCACATTAGGAGGTAACGATTGCAAAGTCATGGCTTTTTTTCAGATGCAATCTGTATAATTAAAACATACAATGCGTGTCCTGAATATTAATCTTTAAACATTCCTTGAAAGAATAAAAACATAATCGGCAATTTAGAGTACAGATGATATGTTCTTTAATTGTCTAAGTCTTCCTGCCATGCTGCCTTTAATTTTGATGGGCAATGTCATAATTAGAGCCAAATTGCCTTGGAAAACATGAATACTTCGTCTATTTACAATGATTCAAATTAATTATTTGGATGTCAATCCCAAACGAAATCACAACAGGATATAATTGTAAAATAGTGTGTGAGAGCGTAAAATAAAGTTTTAGATAATTGTTTTGTAATGTTACTTGCAGTGTATAACAATCTCCTGGCATCATCATTAGAGCAAGACTATTGTGTACTTCATTTTTCTTGGAGGTGATTTTAGATTGTGTCAGTATTTGAGAACAAATACTGTTGCTTAAACTTTGTCGAAGCCTTTTCTGCACCTAAATGCAGAGAAATGCATACAGTATATGGTCTAAATAACAGTCAAAGGCATGACATCAACATCATTTTAAACTATCAGAAAAATAAATGTTTCAGGATAACTGTTTCAGTACAGTACATACTGTACGTTTAACTTTGTTTGGAAAACTGTGGAAAAGAGACAATATTTATGCAGCCAATAGATTAACTGGGTATTGTACTGAATGTGTAGAAGTATATTTAAGGTGTTGATTCTCCACAGTCGCTCAACAGGGGTCTTGCCAGCTGAGCTAAATCAGACTTTCTTTAGCCCAGGCAGCCAACCTCCCTGTTATGCGCGGGGCGTATTCGTCACAATATATTTGCAAAGTGTACAGTATTTCTACAGGCACATTATTGGTCTGTGATTTCTTTAAATTTATTTTTGTTTTGTATCATAGTCAATAGAGAAAATAATCTCTCTCTATGAAAATGATCAATTTATCAGGACTGAGCAACACAATACCATAGATTGTGAATCACTGTCACAATATCAATAGTACTGTATGTCAAATATGATCCTGTATGTTAGAAGCTTAATTTCAAAATATTTTTATATGAATAAGGCTAATTATAGTAAGCTATTTTCAACACAATTGTGTAATGTTTTATCAAAAAATATAATACAAACTAATAGAAATATAAATTTGTTGAACTTCAAACTGTATCTGACATGATGAACAGTATACATACCGTATATTGCAAAAGTACATATGGATATTCAAATGCATTACAAACGGCAATACAACAAACCAATGGAATTATTTTAATGAATTCCAGATAAAGTACTGGATACAAAATCCGCATTCAGCCATGGCTTTAAGATGAATTATCTACATTTTTTTACAGCGCAATAAGACTGAAATATGAAGCAGGAAGAAATACTTCAGTAAAGGGTAAAAATGTACAAATCACAGAAAGTGATTTATCCCAATTTATCTTTTATTTTCCATTGTAAAGTACTAATAGAAAATCAAGATTTTTATAGTTCTCATTGAGCAATTTAAAAAAATAATTCAAAGAACACATTTTCACTGTGTTTTCAGCATGTGAGCAATAGATTAAAACAACAGTTTTAATGTGAATTTGTTTTCTTTTCATATGTAAAACTCTTTAATTTATGTATTAGAAATGCATTCATTCATTCTTTATTGAAGAAGAAAAAATCTGTCTTTATATTTGAAAGCAAAACTGGGAAAGCCTTTTCTGCAGAAGATAGGAAAAGACAGTAGATATAGGTGTTAAATGTACATTAGGAACAAGTAATAGGTTTATTCCATGCTGAAAAAAAGAAGAAAGAGAACACAACGTTTCGGCCGTGGAGCCTTCTTCAGGTGTGAGGATGTACATTAGTTCCATTCCACAGTATTTAAGTGATAAATTTCACACAACAAATAGGCATTGGTTGCATTGCTTGAAATGTTTTGGTATTGTTACAATAATTTTCAGAAAACACATGAAAAACATTTCAATATTTATTTACCACAGTCCTTTTCATTACCTTTTAAAGAGCACGTCTACACATAACACACTCAAAAAAAACTTTCTGAACAATGGTCTTCAGCAGTTTCTAAATTTCCATTGACATGCAGGTTATTGTTACTGAGGTACTGAACAGGAATATAGTTTTGAGGAAACGCTTGAAAATACAAAGTAATTTGAATGTCATACTGCTCACTCAGGATGTGGTTAACATATTTTTTTCAGTCCACTACAGTTGATCAAGAGAAGCGTGTCCAACAAATATTCATAACCACCCATTACCCCTAGCCTGAAATAAAAAAAAACACTCACATTGCTCACTGCTTTCAAAATCTTAGTCCTTTGTATAATGATTCTAAAAGAAAAAAATCGAATTTCAACATGTACTGTACATAATGCTTTTTTTCTGCAGATTTTTCAATTAATATCTACTGTGCAGAATCTTGTTAGAGATATGGGATTATTCATTTCATGCAGGATTACTGTTTGCAGCCTATCAATTTTTTTTTGATTTGAGGAAAAAGTTGATTTGAGCCTATGTTTGAAGGTTTTTCAATTCCACTTTATGAGAAAATTAAATAAAATAACAAAAACAAATTTACATATGTAAGGTATTTGCAGGATGACAGAAAAACTGACAGAATGAAATTTTTCATAGTGATTATGTTTGAAATAAGTCAAACATAATCACTTAACAAATGTATAAAATACACTTATTAGCTGAAGCCATGGGTCCCACAAGCTTAAGATCTGTCCATTTTCCCATCACTTTATGCAATTCAGGTGACCGGAGCCTATGCCAGAAAGCAATGGCACAAGGCAGGACACCAGTTCATTACAGGGATATGGACACAAACATGCAATCACACCAAGGCTAATTTTCTCAGAAGCCAATCAACCTAAGAGTATGTCACTGGACCATGGTGGGAAACTGGAGCACCCAAAGGAAGCCCACACGAATGTGGAGAGAACATACTGTACAAACTCACAAATAGCACCCCAGGTCCTGAATTTAACCCAGGACCCCAGTACTGCAAGGCAGAAATGTTGACCACTGCGTCACCAAGCCACCCAACCTTCAGACCATGCTCTGTAAAACAGCATGTGCTTTCTAATGTTTCCTGTTTGTATGGTGTCCTAATTCAGTCTGTTCCTTTACTGTTTCTGTTTCCACTGTCGGTCTTCACCTCCCTCCTCACTGTCACCTCTGTCCATGAGCACACAGTAGCACTCTTCTTAAAGCCAGAAAGATGAAGCGACAAGAAGAACAAATTCAGTACTGACAGATCCTGTTCAATTAATGTGACAATTACTACATTCTAACACTTTTTTTTTAACTTGTCATTTATTAGTTTCCTTTTTGACATACAAAAACTATCAAGAACCAGATCAAGGTCCCAGTCACTGCAAAACATCAAGTATCAAGCGTCACGGACATCCAAAGGGACTAACCATGGGGAGAAGGAGAGCGGAAAAAGACCCATATGCGTAGCGGCGAGATGGGAAGAAGGCCCGGGCTCATAGTGCAAAGAGTTCAGGAATGCCGTATAGAAACCTATGCCCTCAGGGTGGCTCCTGACGCCCATACAAATAAATGAGCTGCCCAGCACTGGGGGGAGGAAAAACCTCATTTAACTGAAAGGAAACCTTCGGGAGTCCACGGCTGAGAGCTACCCCCTCCTCCGGGGTATTAACCTTTATTGGGTGGAGGAAGGGGGGGTTGAGTAGAGCTCCGGAGACTTAAAACAAAAAAGTACACAAGCACAAACACAACAGACAAAAACCTGGGAAAGACCAGGGAGACAAACCACAAAAAACAGATAGGAACCAAAAACAGAGACACAGAGAGCAGGGGGGACCAAAAGGGAGGGGAAACCAGGAAGAAACAATCAAAACAAAAGGTAAAAAAACACAAAAACCCCGGGGAAAAATACCGCAGACTGGGCAATTGGCACTTTCACATTCTAACGCTGATATCGGAGTGAACAACCTGAGGAAAGCCAGACCGAAGTCCGCTCACAGACACAGATGCCCGGAGTGATATCCAGCGAAAAGAATGGAGGAACGGCAAATGGGCACGTTCACATTCTAACGTCCCTAGTTTCGCTGAGGGACAGGACAGAGAAGGAGCGCCCTCTGGCTGCAGAGGGCGTGACATCAAGTATATATACATCAAGTAAATATAATTATAAAATTTGCTATATATCATTCTATTCCAGTTTAAGAGATTAATACAGTGCTAGAAAAAAAAAGAAATAGATAAGAAAATTCCAAACACATAAATTGATACCATATTCTTTCCGTATTTCTCAAAAACCTCCTTCTTAACCATTGAGTTAATTTTTCTAAATTTCTGGTAAAAAAGCAGTCCAGTTTGCTTTGGTTGGAGGATCTCTTTAGAGCCATTTATGGTAGGTGTTATGGCTTTCTTTCATGCTGCCAAAAAAGTTGAATCAGGTTTTTATCCTCTACCACAACCGCATCAGATAGATTGTTTATATACTGTATAGTACAAAACTCAACACTTCTTCCCAACACAATTCAATTCTCTGAAATTGCAAAAATAAACATTATAATAAATCAGGTTAAATTTTTTCTTGCAACCTTTTTGAATATTTTGGTATTGCATTGTATTTTTCTCATATTCTCCCATTTCTCATTATCAGTAACAATATCTGTCTCTTTTTCCCATTTCTTCAGATGTAGTCTGTCGTGTCTTTTCTAGAACTCATTATACCTTGACACAGATTTTACATTGTTTTACTGGTGCCCTTATTGCATGCCTGGATAATAGCCTGTATAATCTGATTAAGTTGGACATTGGGTTCTCTGATTCTCTAAAAAAATACTGACAAATAGTAATTATAAATATCTTAAAAAGACTAAGTTGAGCAGACCATACAGTATACAGTATGTTCTTAAGGTTCTAAAAATACTAAATTTCCCCTTTCCATTATTATACAGAATGAGGCAATTCCTCTATGAACCCATTGTTTAAATCTTTGGTCAAGTACTCTTGGCACAAACTCTCAATCAGAAACTAATTTCTAATTTGTTATTGTAACTTTTACCATTTAACACTTTTGGATTTACTTTATCATTCCACCAAAGGCCAGAGGACTCAGCTTTGCTTCATAATAGTACACTTTAAAATTTAGAAAAGCTGTACCGTAATTGCCTTATCTTTGTTTTACTGTAGTGTTGCACAATTTACGATATTCTTGGTTTCTTCCTGTTCCAAATGAAATATAAGACTTACTTATCCCATTCAATAAATTGTTTGGAAGGATCTCAACAAGTAAAGACTGAAATAAATGAAACAAGCTTAATAGAAAGCTCATTTTTATAGTTTCCTGAGAGGTTGTGATTTACCCATTTTCCAGCTATAGGGTTTGAATATAGAGTTAATAAAATACCTAATTGACTGTAAATTCGAAACAATCCAATACACACAGTCAAAAGCCTTTTCTATGTCTAAACTCAACAAGATCGTTCTGATCTTTTTTAATATGGTGAAGCATGTGGATTGTTCACCTAATATTGTCCTTTTACCTTTCTTAAAGCATATAGCTTTTAGTCCACAATAAAAATTTTAATTTCCCTGTATAGTTCTCTGTCATTGTCCTCTTTAGAAATAACTGAAATTATTGCTTTTCTCCAAGAGGAAGGAGTGACCTTGTTTTTAAGGATCGAGTTGAAAGAATACAGGTGAAGAACGGGACATTACTTTTCTCAAAGTCTCCTACTTTACTCTGTAGCCATTCACTACCCGGTGACTTATTATTTTTGAGCTTACTTATTGCCTTATCTAATAACTGCTCTTTAATTTCTTTTGTCAAGAGGGCATTTTGATCTAACTCTTTGGTTTGGATCCAAATAGTCTAAAATGCATTTTATAATCTACCAATTTTAAATTTGACAATTAGACAAAAGTACTCACCCACTACATTTTTTTATCACACAGTGGACGAACACAAGCACTGAAATAAATATCGCTCCTCGGAGTACAGACAAAAAAACTTCACTCTCCAAAAGGGCTTTGTTTGTGGTCTTCACCCCTGCAAAATGAAATTAATCACATTATTTTACATTTAACACCAAAGTAAACCAGAAAACAGGGATTCTCTGTCATTTCTGGGTATTTATTCATTGTACACATTAAATCCTGTAAAGACTGTAGTGACTGAACTGTAAGAAGAATTTAACGATACAAACAGGGACAAAATATAGATGAGTGCCTACAGAAAAGGAGATATTTATTAGAGGCTTTACTAAAAATTAAACTGTAAAATAGATTTAAAATTGAATATAAAATGTGAATGCCTTGATCTACTGTATGCAATATAGGAAAGAATTCAAGATGACAAGAAATGGATGAGTGTAAAAAGGACAAGGTCTTAGATTTGGAACCAGAAAAGAGAAAGTGTTAATACCGTGATAATATCTTTACAACCTCAGATAGAATACTCTGCCCAATTAGAGTGAAAACATAACCTTATAAAATGGCCATTTCTGCTGTGGAGTGAGAAAATGAGAGAATGAATACAAGGACTGAGGGGGTGCAGACCCACACAGAACAGTCTATCTCCTGTTCTCCACGTTCCTCCTCCATCCTCCTCCTGTGGATCATCAAGTTTGTTTTGTCTTTGTAATAAATGGCAGCAGCACCTTTGTGAGTTTTACATATACAGAACGTGTACAAGTTTGTTTTAGATTTTCTATCTAAACTAAAATTTCTCAGTACAAATTTTACTTTGTCTTTCTAATGGAATCTGCATGTGAGGAATCGTGCATTACATGGATTGTGTAATTTATAGTGCTGTATCAAAAAACATGCCGCATAAGAGTAACTGTTTTGATGAAGTCTTTACAACAAGTTTCAGTTGTCTTACCTTCAATCTGAAGTCTCCATTCTATATAAAATTCAGTAGATGTTGTAGTTACAGCGCAGGTGTAGTTCCCTTCATCAGATTGTCGTACATCAGTAATCTCCAGCTGTGTAGGGGTAAGTCTCCATCTTTCGTCAGTTGTGGTTTGAAAAGTGTTATTGTTATAGTAACCGAAAAAGAGTAACCCTTCTTTCCTCCAAGTTATTTGGGTTACATCAGTAAGTGAGACATTGCACAGCATGATGACTCTTCCTCCCAAAGATACCGACAGAGTTATAGGTTCTGCCCCACTCTGCTCTATAACAAGAGAAGATGGAAAAAAATGTTGTGCTAACACTTCTGTTGTAATTCTTTGAGATTCACTAGGAATAACAACACCAAAGAATTAATCAGACTGAAAGGATTATGGAGTGTTTAATGAAAATTTAGCTTAAGCTGCTTGGCAGAGGGCTGAGCTCCTGGCCAGGGAACAAGGAGGCTAGAAGCCCCATCTAGAGGGAGGAGAGACCAAGGGGCAGCTGCAGAGCTGGAGATGGGGTGGAGGAGGGACGCAGAAAGATGTATGTGAGGGAGGGAAGGGGATCCTGTATGGTGTTTAAAGTGGTTGTTTTAATTCCTCCTGAACATTAGTTACAAATTCCACTTCATAGTCAGGGAAAATAAATGTTAAATCTCAAATAGGTTTTTAAAAAAATCATGAGAAAGACTAGAATTCAGGATGATGTAAGTGTTAGTAGCTCTGATGCAAACTAACTCCATTAATAAAGAGATAAATGGTAGAATTACAGTATGTAAAATTAACGTACAATAAAAATCAATAAAAGTGTACACTAGGAACCCAACAACATAAAGTGTGTAGAGGTAAATACTCAGGAGCCTGGGAATTGACACTCTCAGGCAGTAAAACAAGCAAATCTAAGATTTATTTTCTTGTTTTCCTTTTTAATCTAATGATGTGTTTTATCAGATAATTTCTGTGCTCTTTTGGTAGTGCTCCTCTTTATACATACAGATTTAAATTAGCGGCATGCACATGTATAATTAATGATGAGTGAGACATATTTTCCTTGGTTACTTACTTATTACTTTTTCCTGAGAATCTGTTTCCTGTAGATTGTCTTCAACACTAAGTAACTGCAAAATTGCTCAAGCAGGACTGTCAGGGCTGTCAAGCAGTTCAATAGCTCTCCAACATATTTAGGTTTTAAATTCATATTATGAGTGTCTATAATGAGTGATGGGGAGGAAATCGATGCCTAGGACATGGTTGGTTAATCAGCACATAAAGTGTTTGATGCAAATACAGAAATAAGATAGCATTGAGACTGTTCCATGTCCAAGCAATCTTAAAATGTAAAATGTAAATATCTGCTATGGAATGAGAAAAAGAACCAAAGTTTTCCAAGATCCAAGAATTAAAGCATTTTTCACCTTCAATCCGAAGTCTCCATTCTCTTGAATATACACCAGATAACAAAGTTACAGCGCAGGTGTAGCTCCCTTCATCAGACTGTCGTACATCAGTAATCTCCAGTTGTGTAGGGGCAAATCTCCATCTTTCGTCAGTTGTGGTTTGAAAAGTTGTATTGTTAAAGTAACTGAAAAAGAGTAACCCTTCTTTCTTCCAATTAATTTGGCTTACATCAGTAAGTGAGACCTTGCACAGCATGATGACTTTTCCTCCCAAAGATACCGACAGAGTTATAGGTTCTGCCCCACTCTGATCTATAACAAGAGTAGATGGAAACAAATATTATGCTAACACTTCTGTTGTAATTCTTTGAGATTCACTAGGAATAACAACACCAAAGAATTAATCAGACTGAAAGGATGATGGAGTGTTTAATGAAAATTTAGCTTAAGCTGCTTGGCAGAGGGCTGAGCTCCTGGCCAGGGGACGAGGAGACTAGAAGCCCCATCTAGAGTGAGGAGAGACCAAGGGGCAGCTGCAGAGGGGGAGATGGGGTGGAGGAGGGACGCAGAAAGATGTACGTGAGGGAGAGAAGAGGATCCTGTACGGTGTTAATAGTGTTTTAGTAGAGGAAATGTTTCAATAGTGATTGCTAATTATTGACAGCTGAGTCAGATTGAACTTGGTTGTTGTCATCCCTCCCGAACGTTTGTTACAAACTCCATTTCATAGTCAGGGAAAATAAATGTTAAATCTCAAATAGGTTTTTAAAAAAATAATGAGAATGACTAGAATTCAGGAATTAGGCAAGTGTTAGTAGCTCTGATGCAAACTAACTGCATCAATAAAGGGATTAATGGTAGAATGACAGTATTAAAATTCACGCAGTGTACACTAGGAACCCAACAACATAAAGTGTAAAGACACTATCAGGCAGTAAAACAAGCAAATCTAAAATTAATTTTCTTGTTTTCCTTTTTAATCTAATGATGTGTTTTATCAGATATTTTCTGTGCTCTTTTGGTAGTGCTACTCTTTATACATACAGATTTAAAATAGCGCCATGCACATGTATAATTAATGATGAGTGATTGAAATGTGTATTGTGGCATGAAATAGGTTTAGTTTGCCAGTAAATCCATATGAATTTGAATTTGCACTCCTGTGTACACAAACTGAAATATAAAGAGAGAAACATGCAAATTATCCACAACAATAAATTATTACATACAAAAGAACCTAACAAAAGGGTGATAAGAAATGTTCTTTTTGCAGCATAAACATTGCAGACTGGGAAATGAAATTCTCAGGCAGTGAAACAAGTTCAGCACTGGGGTTTCAAGAGGATTTTTCTTCTCTTGTCTAAAAATGATAAATGTGTTTCTCCACGATAATTGTAATACTTCCGAATTTTTGAAGTGCCCAAAATTCCAGAAAAGATGTATTTTGTTTTCTTGCTTGTGACTTAATATAGCAAAAGAAAATCTATCAACTAGCAAATTCAACATATTCTGCTCTTAAAACTAAGTTACAAAATTAATTTTACTAAAAAAGTATAGATATGAATGTGAATTTATTTTTTAAGCATGTTAGAAGGTTATTACAGTGAGACACTTGTGTTACCTGGTAGATGAAATAGAAGCAGTGTAATCTCAAAGTACCAAGCCCAGCGGAGGATAAGCATCTTGTCTGATGAACCACCAAGAGTCAGAATAAATGATGACAGCCGAGACTGGAGAGCATGCGGTATTCTCGAAGTTTACTTGTACTGTACGCTTGCGTGAGCACAACATCTTCCGAGCTTGTGACCACCTAATCATCACTGTTTATTATAAACCCCTTTTATTGAATTTGGAATTCATTCTTTTGAAAACACCAAAACAAAAATGATTGGTCTCTGCTTTTTCACACAAGGTTTCAGAGCCCACTGCCTGTTTAACAGGGGCTTGTGGTCAGGATAAGCAGTTCCTGCCTTGTGAGAATGAAAGTTTTGTTTGAAATGGTAATAAACAGGTTTTAATTTGATCGAGACCTTTACTTAGATTATTCTCCACAGCGCACAATATTTTCCCCAATATCACAAACGATTTTAACAAAAATTAATTTGGCTATGACACATCGAATGGTTTAAGTACTTACAGTATGCAATCTTCCATTCAACCATCGCCTAACTGGTTCTTCCATGTCAAGGTTGCAGGGGAAGTGGAGCCTATTCCAACAAGCAACCGGCGCAAAGACACAAACACAGACTTGCACTCACAGCGGCGCCAGTTTTCCCTAAAGCGAATTATTACCCTACATGTACCATGATTTCTTTGGCCTGTGGGGGGAAACGGGGAAATGGAGAACATACAAACCTGGCAGCCCAGGACCAGAATTGCCTCCCACTTACGTAATAATGTTTTTTTCTATTTTTTCATATTTATTATCTCTTGTTTTTTTATTTTTGCTTTGAAGGTTGTGTATATAACAAATAGCTGCTACTCCTACGTGTCACGTCTGCGAGCTTTAAAGCAACACAATGTGGAGTGAGGGTAAAATCTGACTTGTCACCCACTGCTGCTCACTGCTATCTGCTCTGAAGTGTCAGATAAGCAGAGCTTTAGGATCAATGAGTAACAAACAAGGATTAAAAGGGTTCAGTTTCAAAGGGAAGATAAATTCCACGAAATTGGTGCACATAACTTGTTGCTGACTGCGCCACCTAGTGCACAGCTTATGCAAGAGGCAAGAGACTGAGCAGCCATCATGCATTATAACAGGACATTGGCCCTTAATGAGACAAGGAGGTTACTCCTTACTTTACTCACTGGAAGTAAAGCAGCGATTAAGACACAGCAGGTGGAACAGTCACACAGGAGCTGAGGTGCAAAGTTACAATAGAGGCAATCCCAGTTTTAAATTGGGCTGTTTCAAGATAATCCATGGGGTGAGAAGGTTACCCTCTGTTTCCAAAACTGTTAATGTACTGTTTATATTTGTATAAAAAAGTGGGCAATGTTTTTAAATCAGGTGGGTAGCTGCGTCAGCATGCGTAGACTGCAAAGGAACAAGTAATAGGTTTATGACACCTGAAGAAGGCTCCACGGCCTAAATGTTTTTAAATGTTAAACACTAGAGGGATCTCATTATCAAGATTCTGCACGGTATTGATAATTGTATTAAATGCAGCAGAAAAACAGAATTAATTACATGGTGGTTTTTTTCTGTTGTTGTTATGGCCTATGCCTTGTTGTAAAGGAATAAAGGTTTGAATGCCTCCAAGGAACTTGAACTTGAACTTGAACTTGAGACATGTGAATGTTTTTTTATGTCTTTGATGTGGGGTTTTGGGTGCAATGGCCGAGACTAAAATAGCTGTTGAATTTCCATCTATTTATAAACTCTAGTGGAATGAAAGAAAGATGTTAGCCACATCCTGAGCTGGTCAGCTGTATAACGTTTAAATTACTTTGTGTTTTTAATTGTATAGTCAGTTCAGTATCTCAGTTATAATGAAATTCAGAATCTGAGGTGACCAAAGTTCCACAGGTTTTTGGAAATAATTTGTTAGTTCTTATTTCTGTATCAATTTTAATTGTTCTCTTCTACTTAGGGTATTTTTAATACTTGGGACATTTTCCTGACATTGCAATGAGTCTATGTAAATGACTGTACAGTTTGCCTTTCAAGTAGACTCTTTTCATCTTTGTACTGAATCTGTGAATTGTGCATGATTATCTTCCCAAATAAAGACGGATTGTTCCAATTTGTACTGTTGATAAAAGGAGTATCCTGACAAGTGTAGGAAAACTACAGGTCACAGACATGCCTTGGTACCAGCGTTGAGCAGTTTACTAGGATCAACTCTTAGAAATTATTTTATTCTGTATAATTTGAAATTGTTCCTTAGAATTCTGGGGGCCTGTTTTTTTTTTTCATTTGTTGACCTTATTTAAAAAAAATTGCATTAGGTGTAGATGAGATTTTACATTAAAAGAGAGGTCTGTGCAAACAAATACAAAACCACAAATATTTCAGTGACAGAAGCAAACTGATGCTCACAAGTGCAGACAAGAGACTTCACTGCCATAGTTACTGTTCATGGAGGAGCCTCACCAGAGACACCAGCAATGTTCCTCCCAGAGAGAAGGGTGATCCTGGAGCTGCTGTTGCTGCTCAGTGTGAGCTCACAGGTCCAGGGTAAGTAACACATCTGCTGGCAGGGAGAAAAGTGGGACTCCACTGTCACTAAACACTGAGAGCCGTAATAATGTACCATATCTGTACTGGTACAGCACAGCCAAATCTTAATCAAGCCTTAAACTCTGAGTCAGACGTACATGAAGTGCATTGTAAGTCTTTTATACAGTACAATATTGTATACAGTATTATTATACTCTGGAGAAAAAACTGAAATGATCCTAAATACTGAATATTTTTGACAATTACTGTAGTAAAATGTTTCTAATTTTTTTTAGTACACTTTGCTGTTTTAGGAGACGAAAATGAATGTTCCCTGGAAATTCTAGTGCCTCGAAACTCCATGCAGAATATCTCTGCTACAGGACGACTTACAATAACCTGTGGGATTAAATACTGTGAGGAGAAACCTGTGGTGAGATGGTGTAAACTTCATGAGAAAGCCTGTCTCCCCGTAAAGGAGGCTGACATGATCACAACTGAGTGGAAAGAGAAGGATCCCAATTCAGCCACCTATTCTCTAACTTTCTCTAATATAACCTTGGGTGACAGTGGTCAGTATCGATGTGAAGCTGCAGCAAATGTGAGCTCTGAGTACCAAAGCACTGTGAGCCACTCCATACTGGTCTCTGTATCAGGTGAGTAGTCAAGTATTTTTTCCTTTGGGTTTCATTGTGTAGATTAAATGTCATGGACTTATAGTTTAATAGTCTGATCACAGACACATATTTAGCATCTTCTCTCATCTTCTCTCTAGAGACACAATGTACTGTATAAAGCATTGTTATTGTAGATATCTTATGCAGTGGCAGTTGTTGTTAAGTGTTCATCGTCTCTCTAGAGGTATGTATTTAATGTATTTTATTTTGTAAATGTATTTTGGTGAAAATTGTCACTAAATAATAAACATGTAATAAATGTATGAAGTACTTGCTACAGTCCTTCTATGCTACTAAAAACGGCAATGAATGACATCATACCAGTGTCTGGAAAAATGTTTGTCCTGTATATCATATTATTTTGAACACTAAATTTTAAATCCAGCATATTCTAAGGTAGCTTTTTATTTAATGCAAATCTAGTTGAAAGCACTTCATTTTTTTGACAAGTCACACTTGCAGTTGCATATTAAACCCAACTTCCATTTGACCAGAATCCTGACCAAGTCTAGTGCAAGTGATCACATTACTCCTATCCTGGAGTCCTTGCACTGGCTTCCTGTCAAGTGTTGTGTCTACTTCAAAATCCTCATGCTGACCTAAAAGGCTCTCCATGGCTTTTCACCTCAGTACCTGTCTGACCTACTATTGTTCTACTCCCCACCTCACAACCTTTGCTCTTCTAAATCTGGTCTCCTATCTATCCCCCATGCCCATCTACACTCTATGGGTGACAGAGCCGTCTCCTGTTATACCCCAGAGGTCTGGAACTCTCTCCCCAAAGATATCAGAGAATCACCTTCTCTAAACTCCTTCAAATCCAGACTCAAAACCTTCTTCTTTAGAAGAGCCTTTATTTAATGGGCTCCATTCTTTACCCCTCTGCTCCTACTATATTTATATTTATTGTTGTTGTCACTCTGTAAAACGCTTTGAGAAGCCAACTTTAAAGGCACAATATAAAATAAAGTTTATTATTATTATTAATTTGGAGAATTACACCAATGTTTGAAATGTGCATCTCTATGTCTAAGGTCAATATCAATTTCAACAAAGTCTGGTTCTTTCAAGTTTGCAAATGTATTTTATATGTACTGTTGAACAGTATAGCATATCAAATTTATAATGACATAAAAACACGTTTCTGTTTAAGATGGAAATACAATTAAAAGCAGTTAAAACAGCACAGAAGGTGAGGTACTGTAATAATTAGGAACATTTAAGAAAGGTAGTTAGTGATTAGAAATAGTAGCTGAGAAAATGTAATGAGTGTAACATTTACAAACCTGAGAATTGAAATCCACCAGCAGCATCTTATCTCTGTCTTAATCTACAGTATATCTGCATTTGTCATTTAAAATTGACAGACACATCAGAGCAGTGGTTCTCAACCTGCAGCCTGCCACGTCCGGTCCCTTTTTAATAAATTACATTTGTTTGCAGCCAATAAAAAAATAAAAAATAGGTAGAACTCGCAACCCCCACTAAGAGTCTGTTCTATTCACGTAAAAAACATTTCTAAATTGATTCGCTGGGGATCAGATTAATTTTAATTAATCTTTAATTTAATTAAAGTGCTGCACTTAGGCTATAACGTGCGTCACAAGAACACACGAGTCACTGCCCTCACAATCGCGTCCGTCATACGTCTGAACGCAAAGAAGAGCCCGCTCACAACCGGGTTGCCTAGCCTAATAACCTCCTAGTTCGTATAAAGAAAAAGAGAAAAATTGATACGTTAGTTGCAAAGGGTGAAAAATGACATGGGCCAGAGGAAGAAAATGTCAAAGAAACGATGAAACGTGCAAACAGAACAAAGAGTCGGAACATCAGCGATGAGGGTAGGAAAGTACTGGAAGAATGGAGGAGCAAATTTTCCATGACTGATACAGATGGGCAGCCTTTCTGTTTTCTTTGTAGTAAAAGTATTGGTGCTGGCCAAACGTACAGTGCAAAAAGACATTTTGCGACTACTCACAAGTATTTTGACAAGCAATACCCACCCGATTCAGGTGACAGGTCTCTCAAGATAAGTAATCTAAAAAAGACTGCTATTGTCGAGGACAAAATCATGCGAGCAACCTTTAAAAGCGTCCCAGGCAGTGACGCTAGCCACATTCAAAATTTCATGGCTACTTGCTAGACATGGCAAACCATTCAGTGATGGTGATATATACAGTACATATAGAGAGGTTGGAAAAGTTATGGTGTAGTATACAAGGTTTCCTGAGAAACAGGATGTTTCAGATGGAAGTCCTTCATCAGATGTGCAACTTCAGAAGCACTTTGCTTATATATACATATACTGTACATGATTAATAGCTATTATAATATAATAATAGCTATTATGCACCCAGATATGGCAGGCTTAGTAGTGATGAATATATGCGGCCCACGAGACTTAATTTTTGCCATGGTTGGGGCCCAGTAAATAAAAAGGTTGAGAACCACTGCATCAGAGTTTTGAAGTGACTTTAATACATTTAGGCTGGAAGAAAGACTTTAACAAAAAATCTTATAAATGCTTCTTTAAATGTGTATTACTCTTGAATCTTATAATTCTACATAAAACTTTGCCTTTGTTGCCATCAATGTTATTTGAAAACAAAAAGAACTGATGAAGGTCTCAACCAACTCACCTTGCAGACAGGAGTGATATCTACAGTATCGTAGTGTTCCTAGCAGAATCCTCCAGATGTTCTGTATTTTGCAGTTTGATGGTTGTTTCAGGTGTTTGGATAAATCCAGATTTAAGTGAAAGATTTTCTTGACTTGGCACAACAAACTTGATTGTACAATATCAAATAAAACTTACCAGCTAACGTAAACAACTGTAACAGTAAATCATTCTAAAGATTATGCCAACCCCAACTAATTAAATCCTGCTGTCCATTTCAGCTGAAGGAATCCCAGAGTCAATAGATCCTGACTGGATAACCTATATTTGCAAATATGCAGGAGTGGTGACTTTCATCATAACAGTGATCGTCATCTTGTTTCTCTGCATCCGAAGAAATAAATGTGAGTGGTGAGTCACACCAAAACAGAGAGAGACAGAGTTTTCGTTATACCCAGGGGGCAATTTGTTTTACAGCAGCAGGCAATATAAAGAAAACCCACAAAACTAACAACACAGATATACAGTACACGTACAAAAGAATAATTTGTTAAGCAAGGTTATAGCCACAGGGATAAATCAGAACCTAAACTTATTTGATTTTAAACTGGGAAATCTGTATCTGGGTTCAGAAGGAAGTAACTTGAATTCATTAAGCAAATGGTTTGAATGGTCCTCCAGAATTGAACGTGTTTGACACAAAACTCGTAACTGATAGATTGTGATAGGACCGAAAGATCAGCAATAATGACTTTCTTACATACAGTAGTTTGACAATACCTCCTAATTTGTTCTTTCTCCGATTCTCATATTTAAGTTCTAAATCAGCATATCAGGGTAAAATGTAAAGCAGACTCAATAAAAGATTGATGAAACATAATCAACAATGAATTATCAACCTTAAATAGTTAGGCTTCCTTACACAAATAGACACTGTTGCAACAATGTGAAAGTTGACAATGTGCTTTTTTAAAAAATAGAATCAACGTTTGCCTCAAATTTTGACTCTCAGTGCTTAACAGTTATATTTACCAGCCATCTCCACTATTTCACCCCTGATGCAGATTTGGATGGGGGTCTGAGGGTTCTAACTGAGATCAGTTTCTTTTGACATCTACACTTGATTCTGGAATCTTGGTGTCAAGGGTAGAGCCAAACATCTCAAGTAATATAAACATAGGCAGGATAATTATTGGTCAATTCTGAAACAGAACCACCTGCTGTTTACAGGAAAGCAGTATTAATAGTAAACAATGCCTCACATCTGCTACACTCCCAATGTGAAAAGTTATCATCCATACGAGATTTCAGAGTGCCAAAGGTTACAAAAACATTTTTAAGAGGTCATTCATTACAAGTGCTGTCATTCTTTGAAAGTTTGAAATATGAGCCCCTTCACAACATTATGTTGACATCACATACAGTATATGCATGTTCACAGATGAATCTTATGTTTTTCAACCATATTTTATGGTATTGTTATTTATACTATATTGATTATATGTATCTGTATAGTTTCCATGTTGTCACAAACCCCTGATCTCACCACGGAACAGAGAGAGAGTTTGCACAAATTAGAACAAGAAGCAGCCCTTCCTGCTCACTAATCACTGTAAGGACTAATGTAATGTGATGTAAGAATGAATAAGTACAGGTTCTGCAGCAGACATTTCACCTCAGAAATGTTCCAACGTGATCTACATGCAGACTTGACATGTATTTGTTGGCAAAACTATCTCAAAGTTAAGAGCAATATATCTATTGGATTAAAAGAGATGTATTCACAAGTTTGCTTGTTTACAATGTAATAGGGCCACTTCAGAGGTTTGGTTGATGCTGTGCATACCTGGAAATGTACAGTAATCTATTTTGTGATGTAAATTGGATTACTGTATACATTTTATAATTACTGTACATACTGTATTTTACTTACATTGCAGTTAGAAATGCACTCATCAATGCTGATTCTTTCTGGCCCAAAAATATAAAAATAGCATTGCAGTTTCCCTTTAACCCACCTATTGTATGTCTTGGCAAACACCTGAAAACAATGCCCATAATTGCTCCGTGTTTTCTGAAGAGTTTGGATCTTGCAGGAAATGCAAAGTGTCATGGATAGGTAACCCCTAAAAACAATAATTATGCCACCTAACAATTCTAAAAGATTTTAGGGCCCCTTTTCCCTGCCACAGGTTCCGTTTATCGCCCAGAATCATCAGTGCATACACAGGCCAACAACAGTCACTAGTATTGTTTAAGTGCCCTTTTTATTTTCTAAAGATCTCAACATTCATCACTACTCAAAAACACAGCATCCGTGACTCAAAAAGTAACTCCAAGGGAAACACTTGACTCCAGACAATCAACAGTCCATTTTGGTAATAAAGAAAGAAAAACAATAGTCCTTATTGCCCCACGTACTTTATGTAACGAACACGTTCTTTCCGGCCCTATGCAGACGACACAATCCGGGGTGGAGTGAAAAAACACAGGGAAAAAAGTCATGTAGGAGTCGGGAATGAAAACGAGGGGCGTGTCCAAAGTGCGCAGGTGTCCAGGTGGGTGAGTC